TTCCTTAGATAGAAAACTTTGAATCAATCTGACTGGATGATCTGGTGAACTGGAAAGTGACCTGAGATGACATGATGTGAATTGGAGCTATAGAAATTTACTGAATAGAATTGGCTTACTGCACAGGAAAATCACTATAAAATTGCAATTGCAAAGTTGGTTGAAAATAATCTCAATTTGGATTTTCGGCAAAATTGTTCGGCCTTATATTTACATGGTGTCCAAAGCGTAGGGAAAATTTAATTGTTTTGGCTAAAACTCCGTTAATGTCGGATATCCACTGAGGTTTCCACGTTAGCTCATCCCTGTTAAAAACCTCTGATGAATGGGACCATAAAGTCATAGAAAAAAGAAATCCTGACATGTCTGCTTAAAGTTTGCAGCATCTGCATCCACTTTCCTAAAAAGGCATCAGCAAGGCTGGCTGCACTGCATAGCAACCTTCCTTGTTGCTACACAGTGCAATAAAAACCCCAAGACAGAACAAACCCTGGAACAAAACAACACGATTCAACAAGCGGGAACATAAAGAGAGCTGAAATATGGCAAGAAAGTCAGTGTTACTAACTGCAGGATGGCATTCTAACAAGCATGTTTCTATACTAAAGGCTTGTGAATCAGAGTTAATTTCAATGATCTGATCTTCACCAAATTTTCAAAGTTTACTTAAAACCACGAGTCCAGAAACCCTTATCAAATAAATAAGCCCAATTTAACGAGTCAACAGATGGGAGAGACACGACAAATACAACCCGATACAACAACACAGCTAAACCCACCGAGCTGCAGGCATCACAGCTGGGAAACATGCGGATGCTTGGCTAATTCAATTAACAACAGCGCAGAATATTTAATAAAATCTGAAACAGAAAATGAAAGTATGATAAAAGAGACCAGGATACATGGGTAGATGACTTCATCTGGGTTTAAACTTAAGCATTGGCTTTTCTTAGGTGTTACGACTAGAGCTGAAACAATCAGATTAATCCTGTTTAATCAATTATTGAAATAATCGGCAACTAATCTAGTAATCGATTAATTGTTAACTGGAGTATAGAAACATTAAAACATTCCTTTAGCTGACAGAGAAAACCACTTAGAGCAGCAACTATATTAAAATTGTTTAAAAAAGTAAACATTTAGCGTTTTAGATAAAAAAAAACTTTTCTGTCCATCAATCTGCTCCAGAACTCCTTAAGCTTAATTTAGTAAAACAGTCTTCTTTAATGAACCTTTTCCTATCCGATTATTAATTGATTAAATGAAGAGATAATTGACAGATTAATTGATTTGCAACATTAGCGTTACTTGCAGGCCTAGTGAGGATTCAAAAAAAGCTTAAAATTAGAGAACTGATGCATGTTTTCAGTCTTAGGTTGGGAATTATCAGTCCAAACAAGTATCAACAAACAATATGGCGTCAGGATTCTGCCAAAAGTCCACACACATGCAATAAACACTCCTACAAGCAGCTTTACTGCAAACAGACGCTCGTGAACTCTTCATGCGCACGTTTAACGTGTTACATGCACAGATAGGGAACCACAGGACCCCAGTATATCACACATATACTCCAAGCTGGGGTATGTATATACACTACATACAATGTATGAATTATTTAACCATTCAGGCCCAGCCCAGGCTGTCAGCTGGATCGTCCTCCACTGTACCTTTAATATTTCTTACTTGGTGAACTTTAGGGAGGACAGTGCTTCTTGTAAGAGTTTCTCATATTAAAGAACTTTGATCTCATAATATTATGACTTTATTGTCATAATATTATGACTTTATTACCCTCATATTATAACTTTATAATGTTACATTATTCTGATGTTATGACTTTATTCTCGTATTAAAACAATAAAAAAATCTCTAGCCTGATCCCAATACTCTGTCATATGAATCTATCTTTTTAATCTATTTAATTAAATCAATGAAAACTACTGCTAAATGTATAAAAATTACAGCCTTCTTGGTTTGTTCCTTTGGATGAGATTGTTTATCCTCCTTAATGGTCACAGACCGGAAGTGATGCACTTTTATCTGCCTACTTCTCTGCATTCACATCCCATCAAACCTAAAACCTTTTCAATTCCTGCATTAAGGCCATAGCAGCTCCTCTCCACCAGGGGGCGGGATCGCAGCTCATTCCATCTGACAGCTGACCGTTAGTATCGGTTGCCATGGTAATTATGAAACGATTCGACTTCAGGTGAGAACTGTTGTTCACTCTTCGGTTTATTACCGGTTTGGCAGCCAACCAGCGGCCGCTGTGTTAGTTTTTGGTTACATAAATAATAATTAAAGGTAAGTTTGACTTCAGTCCAGCTGTTGTAGATAGTAATGCAAAGATTACGGGGCGTCTATGAGTCTGAGCTGTGGGGTTCAGCCGGTGCGGGTTACACAGGGAAGAAGAAGCAGCAGCAGTTGGCAGTTTACCGTGGAGGGTTGGCGGGCTGTCGCTATGATGGTGGCCGGCCTGTTATTGCTGTGAGCCAGCTCTCTGACCAGCCGCAGACCGATTCCTCTGCTGCAGCCGGTGATCAGCACGGAGCTCCACATAGCACGACTCATTTCTACGGCGGCCCAGACGCCATTTCTTCTTCTTCTTGAATTTATTGGCTTTTCGCAACAAACATTTAGTAGCATTACCGCCACTTACTGGTGTGAAGTGGTTGGTGATGCTCTCTCTCTCTCTCTCTCTCTCTCTCTCTCTCTCTCTCTCTCTCTCTCTCTATTTTATATATATATATATATATATATATATATATATATACACACACACACACAGGCATACACACATACATACTTATACATAAGTATGTATGTGTGTCTGACTGATTGCATTTTAAACTTAATATTTTAGAGCTTAAATCTGAACAAATCGCTGTTTTAATGGTTTTATGTCTTCTACCCATTAAAAGTAAAGCTAATGATATTGCCAACAATTCCCCTAATTATCCTGATAATCCGTCTGAAATTCCTTTTCCTATTTTTATATTGAATTCTGGTATTGAAAAAGCCATTCCTATTTTTCTTGTTATTTTTCATGCCTCTGTATAAATGTGAATGTATTGCTAATATATGTAACTGTACTAAATTAATCCAAACCTTTCTTCCTCTTCTTACCGCCACCTACTGTATATTAGTGTTTAGTAACCACTGATCTCTATTCACTGGATTGCTGATTGCCTGTTGGTGGTACGGGGTTGAACTGAAGCCAATTACATGTCTGTTAATGCTGTAGTATTTTTTTCTATTTGCAAATTTTGCACGCTTGATTATATATATATAAATATATATACATATATATATATATATATATATATATATAT